CGCCGCCTTAAAGGGGCCGCGGCGCCATCCCCGCAGCAGCACCGTGTGTTCGGGCAGCGCTCACCGCCGGGCGCTCCGCCAGGGCCCCGCCGGCTCCTCCAGGACAACCGCCGGGCACGGAGCGAGCACATCACTTTGCAGAGAATTTACGCCTCACGGCAAAACTGTGCTCGGGGAGTGGCGGAGTCCGCCGCTGGAGCTCCTGTCGCAGGCCAGCTCGGGGGAGAAGCGCCGGGCGGCATCAGGGGCTGCGGCCGGCCGGAGCGACTCCGCAGAGCGTTTAAGGCAGCCTCAGAAGGGCACGACCGGCCCAGCGTTCCTCCGGGAAATCACGGCTACAGGCCTCCCTACTTGCATTATTTTCGCTTCAAGTCGTTTAACAAAAACAGCCCTGAAACTCGATTCAAAACTGAGAAATCAAATGAATTTCGAAAATGCAGGAAAGCTTATTTTCCTATTCTAACATTTAAGTAAATGATATATAGGAGGACTTGCCCTACAAGCTTAAATGCATGCTGGACGTTAAAAACAAAAGCAAAATAATTAATTTCTCTGTAATATATCCAACGCACTAACTTTGGTTTTATTTTCATTTTAAAAACAACTACTCAAAAAACTATCATTTCCGTGTCTTAAACAAGTTTCTCTCCCAGCCACCACTTTCCACTAGCCAGCTGCTCTCCCTTCCCCATACTTTGAAAGACATTGTCCTACACCATCACGGTAATTTCCAAAATGAAGCCTAAAAAACAACAGAAGTGAGAACAATGTCACTATACTGTCATTATTTCCATGTTCCCACAACCATCCTTGTGTTACTAACCAGAAAAAAAGAATACAACTGTAACCCCAACAGACTGTGTCAGATGCTGATGTGGATGCCTTCTCCCACACTTCTCTATAGGAGAGGGGTTTTCCTCAGTGCAGCACTCAAAGATTTTGGTGAAATATAGGAGAAAGATACACGCATGTAATACTTGTATAAAACTGGGATTCTGGATTATACTGGGAGCAAATCAGTTCTCAGCTAAAATAGTAATTGCACACATTTATTATTCATTATTCTCATAATTATTCATTACATAAGGATTCATTCTGTACATAACCTGGATCATGGAAAGAAAATTACTTTGGTTGGTTACTGACAAAAATAAAACCTTACTGAAATGCTTGACTTGTGTTTGCTTTGTCTCAGGTTACCTGCCAGACGGTGGACTTTGGAACACAGCTGAGTATCATTTACTTATGTAACTATTAATATCTGTAACATTTGATAAAATCTGCTCCAACTTGCATTTCTGTTGCCATTCCTTCCTATTAAAAGCAACATATTCAAGTCAACTGTGATGCCAGATGAATAGCCACTTTATACCTAGTAAATGAGTATATGAAGGTTATAGCAACTGGATGTAATTTCCTGTACAGAAAATTATACCGATGTTAATTCCTGTGTGAAGCAAACAATAAGATCAGCTAAAATGGGAGAAGTCTAACATTTTGCCCAGCAGACCACTAAGGAAGAGTACGTCTCCTTCAGCTACATTAGTTATGTATTAGAGTTGTGGCTGTTTCAGTAACTTTCTGTTGAACAGTTCATCCATGGGCTTCTAAAAAGTTTTAAAGTTCTTTCTTTTGAATAAAATAAACAAGAAATAACTCATTAGACATTTCTTCTGGTTTAGGAATTCATCTACAGATGCTAGCATATGTCTAAACACAGTTAACTTAGTTTTTATCTACTGCAATGAGAATTCTGTAACTTGCTCACAGGTCTTGATCTAAGTCTTTACATTGCCTCAGTCTTCAGTAGTGCAGAGTTCAAACACTAAGACAGCTCATAATTAAACAAAAATACACACCATCACAGTTCTCAACAAACTATTAATTTTAATTCCAAGTAGCTAATATACCCTCAATTAGCCACCTGGATTAAAATTACTAACAATTAAATCATGCAAATAAGTTGGACCATTTTTCTCATGCTAACACTTTTGTCTCTGTCCCTCTGATCCATAAAGCATATTTTGTCATCTGTTTATAATACAAATCTGAGCACCGTGTCGAAACATTGGGAGTGGGAAAAAGACATGGGAAAAAAGGGGAATACATGCACAATCGTGCACTTTTAGCTTTAGGTGAGCGCCCTCTTGTGATAAAGAACAAGATGAATAGCTGCTCTATTTGTAAAGTAACAGCAACATGACACATCATAACAGTCCAGATGCAGCGTGACTACGGTGACTAAGAAGCTGGACAATTCAACTTGCTAAGCTCTTTTCCGTTCAAAAAGACTAAGAAACGGTATTAATTATAGTCTGACCCAACAATTCAAACAGGTGTGTAAGATTACTCTGTCAGAATACCTGAAAGATCCTAATCAGGCTAAATAAAACTACAGCAGGACGATCGCTATGTACTTTTCACATGTTAATTAGCCGTCTGAGCTTAGAACTAAAACAGAAGAATCAAATAAAGCTTCCTAAACAAATTCAGTTGACCAGGTACAGGCTGGTTAAAACTAATCATTGGAACAAGCACACTGTGTACTGAACACACCTCTTCAATTCCTGCACCCTCACTGCTGGTTATTTTAGGAAGACAAGAGGCAATCTGCCAGCCCCCAATGCTGCCCGAGGGCAGAGGCCAGCAGCGGCAGCTGGACACTCAAGTGCCCTGAGGTGCCCCTGTGCTCCAGGTAAATTTTCACCTGCTTAGGCTTCACTGGCAGTTGCTAGTAAAGCTGTAATGCCTGTCCCAGATTTCCTACTGGCATAACCATCTTTTACCAAACAATGTAAAAAAAATTAAAGCAAATTAGCTCTCCTAGTAACATCTTTCTTCTAATGCAATCTTTGCATTGCCTTCACAGCCCTGGCAAACAGGCAGGGCTGCAGTTGCATCGGGTAAGTAGATTGTCGTTATTGGCTGTGGACGTTCACACCACCGCCTTCGCTCACAGAAACGTTGTGAGGAGCAGAAAAGGCTCGTACCCCGACAGGAGCCTTAAAGGCAGTTATGTGGCTGTTCTCAGCAGCCTAGTACTAAACTTGGAGGAGGGGAGAAGGAAAAAAACAACCCACGGACAGGTTCTTCAGAATCAAGAAACGTCGCTTCTGGCGGGCCGCACCGCCTCACGCCGCCGCCTGCGGGAGCCCACGCTGCCCGCGGAGCGCCCACCTCCAGCGCGGATATGGAGACGCCGCCACCAGGGCGGCTCCGGGCACAGCCCG